AACTTTCGCATGTTCATCTTTTACCCACAGAGGATATGGATGACAAAGTACAATCTCATCAGGACCATATGGGATTGTAGTGCGACATACACGCATAATGACCGATGTGTTCACTGACATACGACTTCGAAGTTCAATCCTCTATTGGAAATCCACAGAGATGAAAAAAAACATCGAACTGACATGAGTCATCTACCTCAAAATCAATGCAATTATTGCCTGGTGTGGATATGTAACGAAGATCTTGCTTAAGTTCTCGTTCATACCGAGCACGTTGGTATGAATATGGTGATGTGTGTAGTTTTAATGATCCACCTGTTTCATATAACCAAGTGTTATTGATGAAATTCGAGTGAGCATGTAAATCCTAATAGCCAAAAAAATGATATAAACACTAATTTCTTGTCATGTGAACCAACGTACCGATGTCTTAACTACGACAGGATTGGTTCGAGTTGTGACCGTAGCTTTATTTTGATTATTCGTCGTGCTATCTTCTGACGACAGTGTAGATTGATCTAGCGAATTGGGCAATTCACCATCGAAAATTACTGCTTGTGCTTGATCAAAACCTAGAAAATAATCGAATGACAGAGCACAATACTTTCATCTACTTTACCTTCGATTTGTCCGTTCAATAAACCATCGATTTCATTATTGTCGAGTGGTAGTATATTGGTATTATCAGGATCTGCAAACAATTCAAAAATAATATACTAGAAAGACATGCTTTGCTTTACTTACCTCCTAGATTAAATTCCATTAATAAATCATCGAGAAAATCCGATGGAGCAACTAAATAAAGAAAAGAATCATTGATATTTCAAGACAATTGCATTCACTATACCCGAATTATAAAGATTTGGTGATGGTGATGGTAGATCATTGCCAATCGTTGTTGATGAAAAATAAACATCGTTCGACGAAATCATCGTTGAAAACGTTTAGTGACGTTAAGCAAAAGATTTTTTGATCTAGAACCAAAATTAGAGCTGTACTGAACGAAATATTTGTAGTAACGCAAAAAAATGAAAGAAACTCATCGGTCGAAACACATTAGCAGAAAATATATCTGATGCAATGTCTTGTTTTTACTTCCAACGACATGCTTTTTTTTCTTACATGTTATTGCAACATCATGTTCTCTTTTTTTTATGTGGCAGAAAGGAAAGAAAATAAATCATAGCTACTCAAGAAATACAGAGTGCACCAAGTACCGACGCTACTGGCGTGCAAGAAAGCTTCACGATTGGTATCAAGATGAATGAAGAAATACTTTCAAATCGATAACCTTTTGGATGGCTACGAACGATGATCTGAAAAATAATTGACATATTTCTTTTTGATGACGAGAAAGCTTGTTTATCTATTTGTAGTCGAAATCAGTGAATCTAGCCTCTCCCGAACAAACAAAGTTACCTTTTCCATTTCATTTCATTTTTTCACTACCTAATGTACTGTATTAAAAAAAAACAAAATATATCACAGGATGCAGTATAAAAAAACTACAACTCACAAAAGACAGCTTGCTTTATAGTTGCATTTTTTTTTCAAAATAGATAAAATTCGAAGGCATTAATTTTTGCATGAGTTGCCTAACTCGAGTTCGAATGGGTTTGGGTGTGGGTTAGCGGTTCACCAGTTTAAATCCACACCCATACCCTTGTTACACTTCTTCTTCAATAAAAATCGACAACGATCGATAGAACAAACTCAAACTGAGTGTCAAGCATTGACACTTTGAAAAGAGGGTGTGGGTGTGTGGGTGTGGGTTTGGGTGTTCGAGTAAATTGACGAAGCACCTACACCCACATTCATCCACATGCACACACCCACACCCACACCCACATGCACACACCCACACCCACACCCACATGCACACACCCACACCAACACCCACACGCACACTCACCCACACCTACACCCACACGCACACTCACCCACACCTACACCCCACATCCACACGCACACCCTCGAAACTAGATTCCAAGCTCACCTGCCACGTCTATACTCAAATAAACTCAAAAT